AGCTAGTCCACAGGCCCAGAGCCCTGCCCAAAGGCGGCGGCCACACCAGGGTGGTCCCAGTCCACTTGTTCTGAGCAGCTCCCCCTCACAACAGATGAGGATGCCCCATTCACCACCAGTTAGTGTGAGTAGTTTCTTCTTAGGAATGCTAAAGTTACCATTGTGCATTTTCCTGTTTTTGTTGTTGAAGTTCTTACCTTTATTTGAAACTTTATTTCACCAAGCTTATATGTTTTGAGATTGAAATTACTGATGATTAATTGCTGTTGTGTATGTTTTTCAGTTTAATAGTGTTTTGATTTTTTTTTTAATTTGTTGAAGAAATTTTAGTTTGTCCACAATTAGCATGCTGTTCTGACAAAGCTTTTGATATAAAAAAAAAAGACAGAAAAATAAGAGAGGAAAATAATATATTTTCATATTGGAAGTATGTAAAATGTGTCATATATATATTGATGAGGATTGAAAACACTTATAGCAGTATATGATATGACGCTTAAGCAAATGTTGATTGTGGAATTTTAAAGATATCTTTTTTTATTTAGATTTTGTAATTGTGTTGTATTTGTTGGTTGACCCCAGTCTTTTACGTTGTGCTGTAGTTCTGTTGTGTATACTCTTAGGTTCCTAATATCGACCCTAGTAAATTGCCCATGGATCCGCGGATAAAGCAACAGTTTTTGTTACACTTACATCAGCAGCAGCAGAGACATAGGGCACCCAATCATTCATATCAGTCGCAGCCCCACTCCAACCCCCACCCCGGGGGAGTGGGGGCACCCCACCCATCTTCACAGCAGCCTCCAAATAACTCGGTCTTACAGAATCCTCAACAAAGGTTACCACAAGTCTGTATAACCTCCGCCGAACAAAATGATTCTCAGGTCAGTAGTTCAAAGTCTTATGTAGGAGCATGTTATCTCCCTTGAAATCTTTCTCCCTCTGTGAACTCCTGACATAACAGACTAGTCCTTATTATTGACTGGAGGGTGCATATTACAGCCCTGCAAGTTCACTAATAGTGTAAAGTTATATTTGGAAATTGGTTATGTCTATAGTGTAGTGTTTGCTGCAATAATAAGTGGTTTATCATTATGACAACCATTGATTTCTAAAAAGAAAATGTAGCTACGTGTCTCAAAGGATTCCAAATATCACAAAACACATATAAAGGAAAGTTCAGCAACAGCTGGAAGAAAAGTTCGTGGGAAAAAATGGACTTATTGTGGTATTTAATGGTGTAAATTTAGCAATGTAGGAAAGGTAACTGCACTTGAATTGGAAATGCACCCCTGCAAACTATGTATAATAATGTGTGAAATGCTTTTCAGTGTAGAGTGAAATTGGAAAATCAAAAAGTATTATCTTCATACATAGCAGTCTTAGTGACCTTTTATTTGCCATTTTAAAACAAGGTGAACTGGTTGTAAATGCTCACTAAAGAATGTAGGCTTACTTTTTCAGATAAATAAATATTTTTTCTTATAACAAATAACAACTGACAAGCAAGCTTAGAAGCTTTTGGTGTCGTGTACTAAGTGTTAAAGAAATGTGTTGAAATGCAACCCTTAATCCTCAGACGTATTTAGCATGTAAAAGCATGGTAGACATTAAAAGTTTGTATGAGACAATAGCTAAAATAGAATTCAGGGTCAGAGTAATCAGATTTCCATTGGTAACTGTAAAATTTCACATGGAACCAATTTTTTGTGAGGAAAAAAATCAGTTTTGTTGGGATCTGATTTCCATATAAGTTATCAATATTTGGAAAAAACTGCATATAGTGTGATTTTATTATGATTTGTTTCCTACAGAATCTGTAAATGCTGATTAAGTAATTGAACCAAAAAAAAAAAGTAAAGAAAAGAAAAACCATTGTCCCTGGTTTTTCATAATGTGTTTAGCTTCTCTGTTTTGAGTTATGTCTCTACCAAAGTTTGAAGAATATAATGGTAATTCTCTCTTTTTCAGCCTTCATTATCACATTATAGAAACAGTGTATCAGAAAACTGTCAGTCACCCACATCACCACACTCCCAACCATCGTACTCCCCCTCCCAGTCTCCTGGACTTCCCCCCTCCACATGGAATAATTTTGACAACTACCATCTACAGCAACAACAGCAGGCTCTTCAACACCAATTTGAACAGTTCAAAATGGTAGGTGACCCAAGATGTCTTCTCTGTACTCAAATCCCTTACTGGAGAGGAGAAAAGGCACTTCTATTTGTACTGAATGCAAGTCCAATCTTAAGAGAATTCTTTTCATTGATTAATATTAAAAGATCTCCCCTGAAATGACTTTTGGTGACTCATTTTCAGGACACCTGAGCCACAGTTAATTTATAGCCACCTTTTGTTGTTCACAGAACATAAATGTTCACGTTTTTCTTCTCCAGAACACTGGTACGATTTTAACCAAAATTTGTCAGAAAGCATTAAGTCAGAAAACATTGAGTGTTAGAGGTTAAAGGTTGAACAAATGAAGGATATTTAGAAATCTAGTGAATTTGAGCCAGATTGATAAAACTAAAGGAGAAGTTCACCCCGGTGGGGCTATTTAAAGGTCCGTAGTTTTACATAGAAGATGAGAAATTCAGAATTCAGAAATTCAGAAGGAAAAAAACTATCAAAGTGACACATGAATAACTTTTATTGTTTTATTTTTAGTCCCCTACCGGTGAAACCGAAGGGGACTATAGGTTTCCTCTGAGTCTGTCCGTCTGTCTGTCTGTCTGTCCCTCTGTCAGTCTGTCCCACTTGGTTTTCCGCACTTTTTTCCTAAACGCTTGCAGATATTGAGCTGATTTTTGGTATGTGAGTGTATCTTGATGAGTTACAGATCAACTTTGCACTTCGTTCCGCTTCATTGATATTTGACGGAATTATGGCCTTTTCAATTTTTACGGGTTTTCCGCAATTTTCTTCTAAACGCTTGTAGATATTGAGCTGAATTTTGGTATGTGGCTTTACCTTGATTAGTTATAGATCAAGTTTGCATTTCGTCCCGCTTCATTGATTTTTGACGGAATTATGGCATTTTCAATTCTTAACGGGAACCAGATTACACTTGCCGGTAGGGGACTAGTATTGCTAATGCAATACTCTCAGAATGCTTATTATAAGGATGTTTTTAGGTAAGTTTTTAAGCTATGATCTAACATTCTATTTTTTAGTCACCAGACAACCATTATTCAAGTGCTGACAATTTAAATCTCTCTAATGGAGTCAGTAGTGGGAGCTATACCACTTCTCAGCCCTCCGTTAACATGTCTCAGGCAATGATGCATGGCCTGACAGGGAGTCAGGAGTTTCACCAGCAGCCTCATCCCTATTACATACAGCAGGCTGATGTCGGGGGTGGAGGTCCTTCTCGAGGTATGAACCAAGGTCAGCTTCAGCAGTCCCCTCACCACCTTTCTCACCACAGCAAGATTCCTGATATTGTATTTAATGGTGAGTATCCTGGGAGTCAGAAATATAACAATATTAATTATTTGTATTTGATCCAACATGAAATATGGTATATGACAACTGATTGGAAATCTCTGCTATAAAGACGATTCCAAGTCTTATGTAGTGGACATTTTTTCAATCAATTATGAAATTGCTTGTTGGAAGTAAAGATTCAGAAAGATTTCAGAGTTTAGTACAAATTTCCCCCTCATTTTTTTTTTTGGGGGGGGGGGGAGGGGGTTATTGGTTTGCTTTTAAGGTGAATAGTTTTAAGCAATTGCCATAGAGTTAAAGGCATACATACTGTGATTTGGTCTATTTCGATATACTTATTACTGTATATAAGGTTATTTTTGCCCTGTGTTATTTTTGCTTTCACCCCAATTTAAATTTGCACAGACACAGGTAAATGCTATCTTAGTTGAATTTGCCAAATTTTGAATGCACCCACGATAACGGAGGTGAAAGGGGGCAAATTAAAAATGGGCAAAAATTTCCATGTATACAGATATTAAAAACTGCATCATTTAATAAAGACTGTTTTACAGTGATGCACATATGGACCAACTATTTTGAGTAATGTTTTTTCTTACAAAAAAATTGCTAGATTACCATTAATTAGATGTGGTGTTATTGAATGTGCACATAATGCTTTAAATATATTCTATGAAATTTAGATACATGTTATTACAGTTAAACCTTCTCTTAATGAACAGGGTCCAGACAAAAACTATGTGTTAAGTGATTCATTCAGATCATATTAGCAACAATTCAAGATTTTAAGTGACTCCATTTCCATGATAGATTTTTAACATATGACATTATTTAACTTTTAGATTTATTTTAGTGTAATGAAACATAATCTAGTTTATAAAACGATTGAAAACTGTTCTTGAAATAGATTACAGTAAAACACATTTATAGCAAACATGCTTGTAATGAATTCACAGTGCAGGGTTTGACATTAAGGCACGTCTGACCGACTCAATCTAGTAAATGAGTGGTCCGGTCGTGTAAAATGTACGTGAACTAGACTGATTGGTCTTGTTGATAAAACAATTGTTGAACTCCCATTTCTTTCAAATAAATAATCTAAAAACTTTCTAAGAAATTTTCTTATTTGTCCAAAGCCATCGCTGTGTGAAGAAAAAAATCCCCGCATGACACTATATATTTTTAGCCATAGACAAGTCGAAACTACTGTAGTTCAGCATCAATATGGTATAAATATTTACGTATGGTGTAGTATTACCCCGGTAATATTTACGATAATTATTTTATTAAAGTTTGTTTAATGTTCTCTAAGGCTTATAATACACGAATGTCCCGATGAACCCGACTCAATTGACTGGGACCTATATATCGATCTGTCTGTCAGAAATATATTGACAAGCGCAAAAGAGGATGTCTTTATTAAATATGCAGACCTGTTTTCTCTTACTCAAAATCGTATTTTGTACGGATTTTGAGTCCAAAATACGTCTCACGTTTTGCTATTACGAATATAGGAAATTGGAAATCCGTTCCTTTGGATTTTAGCAGTTAGTTTTCGTTATGATCTGTCTCAGTTTGACACTTTTTAATCGCTAAAGAAGAGAAAGATTTCAAATACTTCAGTGATGTTGCGGTTGTTTAAAAAATTGACAATAATCCCTCGAAAGAAAGAAAGATATGATGTTTTTCTTTGTTATTAAACCTTGTTTTGGTAATCAGAAATGTAGTTGTTCTCTAGTAACTTATGTAAAATCGATGGACTGTGAAATCTTACTGGCAAATGCCAAATCACACTGACAAATCAAATAAAAAATACTTAGAGACAATAATATGGGTAAACAGATCTGAATATGGTTTCGAATGAACTTCATTAAAATTCTCGATTATAAGAAAAAAAATTTGCAAGTTTGGTCAGGGCTAGTGATTTTATGGTCAGGGCTAGTAAAAATTATGGGAAGTAGCCCGACTGGTCTAGTATTTGTAAAAGTTCATGTCAAACCCTGCAGTGATTTTTATTTCCTGTAGTATTAAAACATGTTATGAACAAAAGAAATACAATGAATTATGTTATAACACTATAAGCATGTTTACTGCATGTCACACTTGTAATACAACTGTGATGTTTGTTCAGGGGGTTGGTATCCTTTTTATTATAAAGGGGAGATAAGTAAGAGTTAGCTATACTTAATGGGTAATCAAATTAAGTAACAGGTACCAGCTAATTGATTAATGGCTTTGATGTACTGTGGTATGTGTGCTAGTTTAGTGCCTATTCTTGTTTTAGGAGCTGATGATACAAATTCATATCAACAAGACTTTGCTAAAGAATTGGGTAATGCTATTACAGGGATGTCAGAGAATTTTGCAGATGATTTGTTTGCGTCGGATGAAGAAGTTCTTAAAGTGGGATTAGGCCCCTTGGATTTCGATGGACTTCAGATGTTAACGGACCCTAATTTGATTACGGACCCTGCTACTGAGGACAGCTTTAAATTAGAACATAGGTCCTAGATCTGTGCTCTACATGTGAACTTAGTATCTCAAATAATTTATTATAAAATGGCCTCCAAGCATTTTATAGTTGTGTAGAATTTTAATAGTTTTCATTTGATGATATCAGTTCATTAGTTGCAAACAGATATGCTTTTCTGTAGCCTCACTGTGAAGATGCCTCGTATGTAACTAGCAGTCACCATCTTATTTCTGTATCAGGATTCATACTTATTTAAGAGGTCAGTGCTTTCCAAGATGATGTGTGCTATTATCCTAGCAATTTGGATATGGTGCAGCAGTGATGTTGAAGTACATCTATTATTTAATGAGCACAAGTGCTATGTGCTAAAAATTGAAGAAAAAAATCTGAAGTATTATTTATTGTCAACAAAACTGCCACCAACCAATTCTTCAAGACATTCCAAATTATTCTGCAACAGATTCTTGTTATTTTCTGTTATGTGTGTTGCCTTATGTACAATATCTAAAGGAGATCATCTAGAAATTCACATCACAGGATTGACGGACAATCAAATTCTCAATTCAAGGATTTATTTATTCTGTAGTGTAGTCTCTAAGTGCTTTATTTTTACTTCTTTGTTGCCTGAGCCATATTTGTAAATTATTAAGATAAGGTTTCACCAGAATCCCTATCCCCTCCCCAGTATATGTGTATCATTCTTCTACAGAGCCTGCTAAATCTGTTTTTCTGCACTAGTTTTAAAAGTAAATGTAAGAAGTTACGACGATTGCTTGTATTTTAATTTTTGTATGGAAACACAATGTATGCCAATTTTTGCATAGAAATAAAGTAAAAAAAAAATTTCTGTAATAGGAATACATAGTCTTAAGAAATACAACTGCATTAAACAGTTAATGTGGGTTGTTGCACAACCAAATGTAAATAATCTTACAATTAAGTTTTGGTTTGTGACTATTTCATCAGCTTTTTGTACTTTTCACAAGGCCCAGCCCATCCAACTTTCATATGAAACTTACGATACACAGTTAACCTCATATATATTACATGTACTATCAAGACATGAACATAAAGAGGCCTATAGAATCTCAGATGACTAAATCAAGTCTCTGTATTTAGTCTTATAAGAGCTGCTTGCACATCCACATTTACTTACATACTTAGATTTGAAAAATTAGGATATTGAACTATAAGTAGAATGTTAAACATATTTATTTGATATTCAAATGAGAGACTGGATAACTTTTGATATTTGTATAGAATTTTTTGTTTCAAAGAAAATCATCTCTTCAGTAGTTTTTAAAATCCCATTTGTACATTATTGTAAGAGTAAATATTACACACTTTTATTACATGTACTTGGTATTTGCTGAAATTAGGCAGGCAAATCGAGGGTAAACTTAATTTCCCAGAGCATATAAATGATATAGTGTAAAACAACCAAAAGCTAGTCGTACATGGGTGTGTAGGCTTATTTCCAGTGTTATACCAGTGATGATGCAGGACAGATAGTCTTAGTTAAAAGAATTTTAATAACAAGAATTACTGGTTTTGTTGTTGAACAATAATCTCATTTTTTCATAAATGTGTAATTATAATATATTAAAATGAAATCATAATATATAATTAATATTTGCATGTCCATACTATAGTAATTCATATGCAGTATACTAGCTGTCACATACGAGGCTTCATTTTCAAACTGAGACGCTGAAACTTTCTGAAGTTGGGGTTGTATAATAAATTGTCCAGCCACATGCAGAATCTGCAGTAACTTTCTTTGGCAGCTACATGTCTATGTATTGCTTTGAGAAAAGATGAGGCCTTGGCTGTCAAATTTGTCAATGAATGGAAAAAAAATCATTTAAATCTGTATTAAGGACAAGTCAAATTCAAAGTCAGGTGTACCAAAATAACAACATTGAAAGAAAGTGGATGCAAAGGCTTCAAACTTCATTAAATGATGTTGACAAACAAGCTTTCTTCCTTCTCAATGATTGGCATCAACACAAAAAGACTGTAGGACCTATGTGATTTATAGAGCTAGGAAGGAAGTCTAAAAACTAAAATTGCTCAGTATTAGTTTGGGCATTGTTGAATTTGATATTACAATTTTACTGTAATTTACAAAATGGCATCCAAGATGATAAGGTTCACAGAAAGAATTGAATGAAGAAGCTGTTCGCTTTTCATATAAAACTTAAATTGATCAAAATTAATTTTTCTTGTTTAATGAAGAATATTCTTTAATTTTATCGATTTTTAGTGTAGATTTTTATTCCTTTAATTAATGGTATAAAACATGATTTGTGTATATTAGTGCAATCTGTCTTTTGTACTTTATAAACATACTATTCTATGTATGACAAGCTTAAATCCATGACGGTATTTTCTAATGTGAACACAGCCATCTATGTATGTAGACATTTGCCTCAACATTTGAACTGATAGGACCTCTCTTTACACTTTGTATATCACTTGACAGAGACCTGTAGTGCACTGTTTTGTTGTTGCCTTGTATGATTCTGTTTGATATGTGATGTTTGTGATAGATGTCTGTGATCTTACTCAGAAACTACTTAACATTGTTAGTAAAATGTATCAAAAACTTCATGTGCACAAACCACGTAGAATCAAAAAAAAAAGATTGTGAAAATTGTCAAGGGTGTCTGAAAATCCTATAACTTAATGTTTAATTAAAGCCTTTACTTACAGCATGATACCCAGGACCTCTTGGAAAATAAATGTTGAAAATTACAGGAGTAAACAGAGGGTTGATGAACCGTAGATGAGTTAACAATGGAGTTGTAACTGTAAAAAAGACATAAAGTAAGCTTATATTTAAAAACGGGGCCGGGGGGGGGGGGGTCTACTTCCAAAAAAGTATTTAGATCCCTGTGACAATGACACATTATTGTCATACTGCTACTAGGGGAATCTTGGCATCTTTTGAATGGCAGGTGGTCCACAAGTAAGCCATGAAAGATAATAATTCCTACCAATTAAGGAACAAGGTAAATTAAGAACTCTTTTTGGCCGCCATTTTTGGATGATGTAGAAAATAAATACTATGATTTTGCCTGTTTTTTAATTTAAGAATTCAGTTATTAGCATACACAAATGTTGAGAAAGGACTACATTTTGTAAAATTCTTAATTTTTTTTTTCCTTGATTGCATTAATTTGTTACATATCAGCTAAAGTATCAGAGCTGGCGATCCTGCCTATAATGAAAATTCCATTGATTCACTCTATCTGATAATTTATGGGTAAATCTTAATACATGTATTCAGAAAAAACCGAGATAAAACTATTTCTGTTAACTGATGGGTAAATCTTAATTTTCAACCATTGTTATGGTCATGTTGCTTGTAAAGAGGTGCGGTACTATTTACAAGAGATGGTGATTGAAAAGACTGTGTCAAGCAATGTATTACCCCGGTTAATGGGCTTGCTTTGTTTGTATATATACAGATAATATGCAGTGTTAATTTTTCACTGTATATTACATATTTATACAGATATGTATTTCATGATATGTTTTCATGAAACCATGAATATTAGCATTGTTTATGCTATATGTTCTTGTGAGAAATCAATATGGCCATTCTATTTAAAAGTATTAGAAAGAATCAAATTTGTGTGTGAGAGATAGATCTAAGAGATGCATATATTCCTGTGGTCTTGCTTGAGTGCTTTTGTGTTGCTTTTTTATGGTCAAAGATGTATTGGATGTTGATTTATGTGTAGTTTTTATTGGCTGTGTAGATGTAGACCTCTCACTTGATTAAGAGTCATTTCAATTGGTGCAGTTCAGTTCTAAATTATGTATGTCCTAGTTATTTATCTTGTTTGTATGTTCTTTTTTTTTTTTTACAGTTTGTATGTAAGGATATAATAAGGCATGACCTTCCACTGGAAAGGGAGATAACTTGAGGCCATATTCATTTTTTAAATGCATTGAATGTAATATTTTAGTAATATTTTGTGTGCAGATTGTACTATGATATACAGACTTGTCTGCCTTTGACAAGGAGGGTCGTGCTATTTAGGTACGTGTTCCTTCATTGTTGTTAATAACCTTGGTTAAATGCAGCCTATTTTTATTATCACTATGACCTTCGTACCCTCTTTATTCTGTTGCATGTATTTGTTTCTTATGGAGATATTTTTATGAACAATTAACTTTTTTATATTGCACACAATTTTTTGTAAAAGAAAGAAGATGTCTAGATATAAAAATATATATATATATATTTACATCTGTATACTTGTATAAAGTTTAAGGAGAAATGTCTTTTTTTTCCATATAATATATTGTTTTATGGATCTTTTTGCTCATTGATGACATTTGATGGCTGTGTTCTGTATATATAAGGGTTTTTAGCAATGTCACCTAACACATAGTCATCATCTTCATCTTCTTTTGTTATGTGAGACTTGTTGTCCAGTAATACCGGATCTACTGGAATAAATATATGTAATTACCTGACACTTTGTGTACTTATTTATCAATGAATTAATCAATCAATATACAGTCAAACCTCGTTATCTCGACTGAATGGGTCCAAGAAAAAACTTCGAGATATCCAAGGATTCAAGATATCCAGGGTAAAATATTAAAGAATAAGGGGTCGGGACTTCCAAATCACTTCTACATGTCCAGGGTATTTGAGATATCAGTGTTTGAGATACCAAAGTTCAGCTGTATATTTATTGAGAGTATTCAAGGCTACCGGCCCAAAGTACAATACATTTAAGTTGCATGTATTTACATGGTCGGGTTCAAACATAAGACAAAATATAACATTTTTAACCTTGCAATGTTTTATACAAGTAGTACATATCAATCTTCTTGAGACTTCATAAAAATGTCCCATCTTTTAAAAGCTAGGAAAACATAATTTGCCAAAGCATTAATGATATGTTTTCAAAATCTTCTTCAGAACCACTGCGCCAGAAAATAAGTGTAAATTTAGATTTGTTCAGATCATGATCCCAATACATAAAGGTACATAGGAATACATGTACATAGGAAATCGTTGAGAAGGCAGGACCATGATCAATCTTAATATTAGTCCCTTACCGGTGAAACCCGGAGGTAGGTTAATTTCCTCCTCGTCAGTCTGAGTCTCTCCTATATACACTAATGAAAAATATGTAAAGGTGTGAATATTGATTTTATCTATTTCATTTTCAACATAGAGTACCAGCCATTTACCCCATAATAAAATGTTTCAAAATAATGAAGTACATTAAACGCAAACCTCTGTTGCAAATAAAGGGTTCAATTATTAGTCCCCTACCTGTGAAACTGGAGGGGACTTTAAAGGTTTGCTCCTTGACTGTCTGTCTCTCCTCTGTCCATTGATTTTCCGCTTTTTTCTAAACGCTTCCTGATACCGAGTTGACTTTTGGTATGTGAATGTACCTTGATTAGTTACAGATCAAGTTGCATTTCATTCCACTCAATGATTTTGCACGGAATTACAGCCTTTTTTTTTTTAAAGGAAACCAGCAGGTTTCCCACTTGATTTTCCGCACTTTTATTGCCCCCCACTTTCGAATGGGAAGAGATAGGGCATTCATATTTCACATGTATATTACCTTTCTAAACAAACTATATACCCCGGCCCGGGATATATCGTTGCTATTCGTGAAAATTTTCTGACGATTAAATTATTTTATTTTAGAATCTTAACTTTATATAGGAAACATTTTAACAAATATATTAATGAAAATTAAATGACTGTCAATATTTTTCGGAAGAGCTAATATCAACTAGTTATAATATTGCGACGGAAACCGTTACAGATGCCTCCCCCCCCCCCCCCCCCACTCTCTTTGGGGCCGCATTCCCTATAAGCTTCATTAAATTCAGAAAAAATCTCTGTATTATAGACTTTAACAACCTATTTTCCAAAGTAATTTGGGGTAACAGCAATGCACATAATTGGTAAATAAACTAATTGAATTGAATTGAATATATAGCACAATGAACATAAGCAAATCGTGCATGCACATGATTTTGAAAATTACCATATACATCGTCAATAAAAAACTTTATTTTAGATTTCAAAGAATTTCACTGAAAACATAGAAAGTTACAGCAAATGGATATTAAACAATCGGAAATCAACACGCATGCACGTACTCGCAAACATGAATTTCTGATGATTGAAAAATGTAGGAACTTGTATTATTTCTAGATTTCTCACATTTATATTCTTATAGTGCCTTGTAAAATAATTACTAGTATGTCAATGTCTTAAATTTCAAAGAATTATATTGAATAGTAAGAGATATACAACCTATAAAGTATAACTATTAGCCAAGCAGATTTCAGCACACCTGTATATATGCACTAAAAGTGTATTCTTTTAGTATCGGAGAGTATGAATTTTTAAAAAAGGCTAGTTTTAGGTTTATATTTTGGATTTTTCAGTTGTAATACTTTGCGAATGTGTCATAGAAAAATATTTTATTTAAAAAAGAAGTCAAAGAACCCTTTGGGTATGGAACACGGGGGGGGGGGGATTCTTCTCAAAGCACCTGTGATGTGCATATGTGGACAGGAATCCTTATCTCACCCTATACCAGTAAACCACTTTTTGATAAATTAATTTTCCGAGTTATGTTTTAAACTACAATGTACTTATTCTAGTCTCGGGAAGGGATAAACTTTGGAAAAAAAGAATTGGGCATTCTTTAAATATATACAACGTGTCGGTGTTCATCTTCTTTAAATGTAGAATCCCTCCCCTTCATTTTTTCTTTCTAGATAACATTTTGCCTCGAAAAATTTAATATCGTCCCAGGGGAGGGGAAGGGTCCTGGCCACAAGTACCTGTGTGAATGTCCTCTGAGCTTTAAATTCATTGCAGCCAGATATTGGTTAGCTGTGCTCTACTCGGCTTAAGAGCTCTAGAGAGCTTATGTTAATTGTTATGCTGTGTACAAAATGCTGACTATTTTACTTTAACTTGCTTACTTAATATTCCGGATTTATGATCATGCTCGGCTTTAAATTTTACCAAAAGTCAAAGTTCAAAGTGCAAAATCTGTTTTGAATGGTTAGAGGTAAGTATGCAGACGCGTACGCGTCTGATTAGTTTGGCAATTAATAAAATAATAACCGTAGGCGTACATTTCAGAGTAAGTATTGCATTTGCTAAAAATGTAGGATGAGAGTGAAAAATGGCAGGTGTCAATACTCCTGCGTATGTCACATGGCCTCAGAAAATGAAAGTAGACCAAACCGATTAGGTCAGGAATCTCTTGATTTAGCTATATAGCTCAAAATAGCTATATAGCTTTTAAGATTTTCATAATAGCTTGGTTAAGATATTTATATGCAGTTTTTCACAAAAATGTTTTTCGTAAGAAATAAAAACAAAAAGTCGCAAGATGTATGTACTATGGGCCATCAAAAAAGCAGCCCCATCAAGGCACCTTGTGTGCGAGGGGCGTGAGAAATGTATGATTGCTTCACATTGTTCTAAATTATTACCAGTCAATTATCTTAATTTCATTCAAGAAGTAACTGTGTGGTGACAGGTCACAAATCAATTGCTTTATATAGCCCCAAAACTTTTTAAAACTGAGTACAAAGTCTCTCAAGGAGACGCAAATTAATGAGTAGTTTTTTAAATGCATTATTTTCAGAAGAGTTCAAGGTTAAATGCTATCACTGTGTCAAGGACTGGGACTTTTTGTACTTGCTGAAAAAAATAACACATTTAAGTAAAAAATGTGGTAAAATATAGCTAAATCAAGCTATTCTAAATAGCTTAATAAAGTCATATAGCTAATTCAAGCTATATATATAGCTAAATCAAGAGATTGTACTGGACCTGTTGGCAGGAAAAGCAAAGGGGCATTAACTGATGAAGAATGGTAAAGTTTGCATTTTCTTTGAAAGTGCAAATGATTGGGATTCTAGGGAGGGGATACTCCATGTAAAGAGTTAGATACCTTGTGTTATCACATTTATACTACAGGGTAAAACATAATTACAGAAACAAGAACCTATGAAGAATCTATCATATGTAATAATCACTTAATCAGTGTGGTGGATCCAAGATTCTTAAAAGGCCTTTAAAGGGGGGGGGGGGGGGCTGCTGTTAGACCTACTGAGGTGCATTAAGGCCATCAGTTGGTCCAAATTAAAGTCTTTGTGGGGTCTCAGAAAGAAGCCCCCAGGAGCTAGAACAGATTTGTGAGTCATGTTAGGCTAGTTAGAATAATCTTACTGTGTTTTGGGACAAGTCCTCACCACAAAATACCTCTTATATACCCGTAATGAAGCAGAAAATGGCAGCATTGCTCAAGCCATTTTGGAGAAAATAAATGAAATTGCATTAAAAATAAACTTTTTTGTGATTATGAATACATTTCACCCCAAAAAATTAATCCATATGATGGAAGAATTCAACAATTTTTCTTGCTTCAAATTTACACGCCATGTTGACATTTATAACTCTCTGGATTATTCACAGTAAATGTATCAAGTGAAGAGTTATCGCTCATGTTTGTTTTGCTACAAAGCCAATACATGAAACGCATTCCTTCATTATAAACAGCTAGGCTCAGGGGCCATAAAACTTAGATGAGCTCACTTTTGATCTCGGTCTCACTTTTAGAAAGGAATAGATAGTGGAAAAGTGAGACTTACATCAAAAGTGAGCCAATCTAAGTTTTATGTCCCAGAGCCAGGTGCATGGGACATTATCATTTTAACAATTAGAACATTTTATCGAATGTTAGGCCAGTTAGCTTACTTCATATATAATAAAAACGTATCCATTAACATGATCAATATTAATTAACAAAAAAATGACTTATTAATTTTTTTATGTATATTTTACATGTATAAATATCAATTGGCAAAAAATATGGTTGGTCACAGAAGGGTGTCCTAGGCTGCCTGTGTCCCTTGTACATCATTTACTCACTGATAATGTAGAAATGTTTGGTTTGTAATTACAATTAGAAATTACCTCCTTTCTGATTTAAGGTAACTACAATTAGAAATTACCTCCTGTCTGATTTAAGACTCATAAAGCCAGTATATATTCTTATTTAAATGATTATTCTATTTTCTTTATCCAGATGGCTCTTAGAGGTATCAAAGTGATTGAGTTTGCTGGTCTGGCTCCAGGACCATTCTGCGGCATGATTCTCTCTGATTTTGGGGCCAAAGTAATTAGAATTGATAAGGTATTTTTCTTAAGTGTTGCATGCAGTGAAATTTCATACACCAAAAAATACTTCAGATGCTTCACTTGGTGGGATTTTCTTTCATATCCATTTGGGTCTGAAAAGGGAAATTTTCACAGATGATCTTACTCTACAGTCAAATGGAGACCGGCATTAAAACTGTCATTCGTATCAGTAGCTTTTTATGTATACTTTGTAACAAAAACCAGTCACTGTGATAATTCTATTTGTCAGAAAGGTTATTAGTGAATATAGACTTGATTGTGTTTTGACCCAAATTCAAGGTCAATTGGATATTAAGTGGCAGTACCATATGACATTTTTTAATGTTTTATGAGATGTAGCTTTATTTAAAATAAGCCTTGTAAATGACAGTGACAGCACTGCTCTTTAACTGGAATCTAATTAGTAATGAAGCAGAAAATTTGATAGAGTTCACTCTGATTCCTCTTTGTCAGCCCCACTCAGTGGACATGGATAAGCTTGCCAGAGGGAAGCGCTCTATAGCCATTGATATGAAGAAACAGGACGGCATTAGCATTGTCAAAAAGCTGTGTTCTGATGCTGATGTTCTTATTGAACCCTTCAGAGCAGGTGAGGTGAAAAAAAAAGCTGTGGCTACAGAAAAGTTGCTGGATGATACTCCATTGACAGTAAAGTGGACATTATTTCCTTGTCCTACAGTACATGTATTTCAGTTGTAATAATCAAATTGCATACTTATAGTAAAGAATGTGTCTGAATTTCTCATGCAATCAAATTATCAAATGCTGAATAAAATATTATCATTGTTCTTCATGAAGTTATCATCAATAATGCACTATTTTCCAAATGAGTACCCAATACATATGTACCTGTGTAATTTATTCTCTTCTAAAAACATTGTTTATTTGATCCGAGTACATTGTTCTAATGTTTGTCTATTGTAGGTGTAATGGAGAAGTTGGGTTTGGGACTTGTTTATTTGATCCCAGTACATTGTTCTAATGTTTGTCTATTGTACAGTAGGTGTAATGGAGAAGTTGGGTTTGGGACTTGTTTATTTGATCCGAATCCATTGTTCTAATGTTTGTCTATTGTACAGTAGGTGTAATGGAGAAGTTGGGTTTGGGACTTGTTTATTTGATCCGAGTACATTGTTCTAATGTTTGTCTATTGTAGGTGTAATGGAGAAGTTGGGTTTGGGACTTGTTTATTTGATCCCAGTACATTGTTCTAATGTTTGTCTATTGTAGGTGTAATGGAGAAGTTGGGTTTGGGACTTGTTTATTTGATCCCAGTACATTGTTCTAATGATTGTATATTGTAGGTGTAATGGAGAAGTTGGGTTTGGGACCTAAATCTCTTCTGAGTGAGAACCCAAAGTTAGTGTATGCCCGGTTAACAGGGTATGGACAGAGAGGAATCATGTCCTCCCGAGCTGGCCATGATATCAATTACATAGCTACCTCAGGTGAGGTCCCCAAGCAGGTCATAATATCAATTACTTAGCTAACTCAGGTGAGGGTCCTGAGTGGACACAATTACATAGCTACCTCAGGTGAGAGTCCCTGAGCATGCCATGATATCAATTACATTGCTACCTCAGGTGAGAGTCCCTGAGCGAGCCATGATATAACATACCCACCTCAGGTGAGAGTTCCCAAGCAGGTCATGATACATATCAGTTACATAGCTACCTCAGGTGAGGGTCCCGAGAGGCCTACGGTATCAATTACATAGCTACCTCAGGTGAGAGTCCCTGAGTGGACCATGATATCAATTACTTAGCTACCTCAGGTGAGAGTCCCAAGCAGGCCATGGCATCAATTACATAGCTACCTCAGGTGAGGGTTACCTATTCAACAATTCAGCATCAATTCAGTTTTAAAATGGTATATGATACACATTATTTACTGTTGTATGATATATTTTTAAAGTAACTAACAGAATTATAATGTTTTAGCAAACTTTTAAAGATCATGATATCATACATAGACATAGAAGTTCTTGTAAAGCAATATTATAGCCCCACTAATGTAAATACATGTATGGTAGCTAGTACTTGTTTAATTCATGTCTTTGCAGGTGTTCTGTCATATCTTAGGAGGAAAGGAAAAAAACCACATGCTCCTGTGAATTTGTTGGCAGACTTTGCTGGGGGAGGAATGACCTGTGCTTTAGGGATTATGTTGGCCTTGTATGAAAGAACACAATCAGGTCAAGGTCAAGTCATTGATGCCAGCATGGTGGAAGGATCAGCCTATGTAGGTATGTCAAATGATGTTTGGCTGTCCATCTGTCCATTTTCATGAAGTTCTAGGTGGAATTTGCTATTGACCTACTTATAAGTTTTTTACGGATTTTGCTAGAATCTATTCACAATTTCAAAGTAATATTCTGTTGTATTTACCTGTGTTTCCAAGTATATTTTGGGGTATGACATAAATATTTGATTAGAGTTTTGGGCTAAAATTTAACTCCCAGAAATCTAACTTACAATCAAGTACGTATAGTATGTCTGAACAATGAACATGTATCTATAGACACTTTTGTTGTTATGCAATAAAACATATAGCTTTCACAGTTTTTCAAATTTTGTTTAGAGGATTTGTACTGTAAGTCAAAGTCTTCAATACATTTTGGGGTCATACTGCTTTGTGTATCTGTCTGAATGTCTATTTATTGACACTTTTGTTGTGATGGAAAAACTTAGTTTTCAATGTAACATTTTCAAATTTTACACAGAAGTACTTTACTGTAAGAAGATGCAACTATAAATTTTGGGTTCGTTCTGTCTGTATGTATGTCTGAGTGTATATCCATTGTGACACGATAACTCAAAGAGTTTTCTGACATCATAACCATTTCAAATTTTATACAGAAGGAGTGGATCTTAAATAAAAGAAACCTATTTACGTGTATATTGTGGTCCTTCCATCTGTAAACCTATTTACATGTATACAGTGTATTGTGGTCCTTCCATCTGTCTCTCCATCAACACTTTAGTTTTGACACTATAACCATTTTTTCACACTAATGTTTTTGAATTTTGTACAAAAATAAAATTTAGAGAATGTAATCTATAAATTTTGGGATGATATTGTTTTGTCAGTCTGTACGTATGTCTATATGTTTATCTATTGTGACACAGTTAGTCAGACAATTTGTACATTGTCATCGTAACAATTTCAAAGAACAAGTGCACTTATGGACCCTGGTAAAATGTGAAAAAATGAAGATTCAAATTAAGCAAAATTCTTCATCTCACGTTATCAACCAATCTAAACCATAAGATTTAACAAATTTTAGCTCTGAAATTCATGTATATGTATATACAAAGAGCCAAGCCATACAATGTGGTAGGGGTCAGCCGACATTCGTGATTTTCTGTAGTAAATCGAAAACAGGCATTCACTTCAAAGCCTCTGTTTACTGTCAGTCAAACATGCAAACTTGTGCCAAGGACAAAAGACACATTATACATTTAGAGAACTTGTGTTAAATTCGGAAATTTCGCAGTTTTACTTTTTTGCGATTTGACACAACTTTTCCACGAAAAAAATCCTGCTTTTCCACAACAAATTATACTGCTTTTCCGCGATTACATTTTTTGCTTTGCCGCGATTTATTTTAGCACGTACCTCTTCCGTTAGCCAGGTAAAAAATGTTTCTCACTTTTGGGCTAAAACTGCTTTCAACTGGCTTCAGTCATTTTTAGCTCACCTCGACGAAGTCGAGATGAGCTTATGCTATACCCCCGGCGTTGGCATCGGCGTTAGTGTCGGCGTCCCGGTTAAAGTATTAGGAGCAAGTTTATTCCCAAGTAACTATAAGCCCTACCTGGACCAAACTTGCATGGATGATGCATCTAGGGATGGACACTACCAGACTTACTTCGGATGCTGGATCTGACCTACATTTTCCAGATGAGTGACCAGGTTAAAGTTTTTGGAGCAGGTCCATTCCAGAGTAATTATAAGCCCTACCTGGACCAAACTTGCATGGATGATGCATCTAGGGATGGACACTACCAGACTTGCTTTGGATGCTGGATCTGACCTACATTTTCCAGATGAGTGACCAGGTTAAAGTTTTTGGAGCAGATCCTTTCCCAAGTAATTATAAGCCCTTCCTGGACTAAACTTGCATGGATGATGCATCTAGGGATGGACACTCACAGACTTGCTTTGGATGCTGGAGCTGACCTACATTTTCCAGATGAGTGACTGGGTTAAATTTTTTGGAGCAGGTCCATTCCCAAGTAATTATAAGCCCTACCTGAACCAAACTTGCATGGATGGAACATCTAGGGATAGACACTACCAGACTTGCTTTGGATGCTGGATCTGACCTACATTTTCCAGATGAGTGACCAGGTTAAAGTTTTTGGAGCAGGTCCATTCCCAAGTAACTGTAAGCCCTACCTGAACCAAACTTGCAGGGATGGTGTATCTAGGGATGGGCACTACCAGGCTTGCTTCGGATGCTGGATCTGACCTACGTTTTCCAAATGAGTAACCATGACAGTGTGTTTGGAGTAGCTCTATGATTATATGGCCTGTTATGATTTAACTTGCATAGATGGTGCATTCCAGACTTGCTTCAGATGTAGGAAATGAAAGACATTTTCTTGATTAGTGAACAGGTTAAAATTTTTGGAGCAGGTCAATTCCCAACGAACTATAAGACCTAACTTGCATGAATATTGTTTTCAGAATGCACACTAACTATAAAGAAAATATGATGTGAGATTTGCATTACTTTCACTGATAACATTCGTCGAGGTGAGCTTCGTAATCTTTGTTTACCTATGTTTTTGTCTTTACTGAGATTGTTGTATTCTTTTTATTTCTACCTCAGCAATCTCTTTTGCATCGGTTGCAATTGTGGCTTTGGATATTTTATCTTCAAAAATTTGCCCCCACAAAAAATGTGATTTTATAGTAGTATATTAAATTCCTCCTACCCGTACATTAATGCACCCCAACCTCCCCCTCCCCCAGCAAACAAGGTTTCATAGGGGAGGGAGGAGGGCTGGAATGACCATGTCTACTATTTGTCTGTCTGTGAACTTTTTTAATGCCTCAGTAATTGAAGATTTGGGGGTATATAGTTTTTGCTCTGTTGGCCCGTCTTACTATCTGTCTGTTTGTTCACTAAAACTTTAACCCTGCCCATAACTTTTAATTGGTTGGAGTTATAGCTGTCATATTTCATATGTGTATTCCTGGTAAAAAGACCTTTCTTTGGTTACCAACATATTTGACCTCTTGATCTTAACCCAGGAGTTTGACCTACTTTTGAAAAACTTTAACCTTGGCCATAACTTTTGAATGATTGGTGCTAGGGTTTTCATATATCACTTTTTTATTTCTTGTGACAAGACCTTTCCTTTGGCAACAGTAAGTTTGATCCTTTGTCCTTGACCTTGGAGTTGGACTTACTTTTGAAAAACTTTAACTTTGGTCATAACTTTTGAGTGGTTGGTGCTAGGACATTCATATTTCACAGGTGTATTCCTTGTGATAAGACCTTTCTTTGAGTACCAACATTTTTTATCTCTTGATGTTGACCTTGGAGTTTGACATGCACTTGAGAATGGTTAACCTTTGCCATGAGTGCCATATGGGGGCATCAATGTTTCACAATCACATCTTGTTTATTTCAGCAAATTGGTTGTGGAGATCAAGTGACCTTCCTATTTGGGGAAGACCTCCTGGAGAAAACCTTTTAGATGGTGGTGCCCCCTTTTATGATACATATGAAACAGCTGACAACAAGTACATGGCTGTTGGTGCTCTAGAACCTCAGTTTTACATCAAACTTTTGCAAGGTATACTCACATCAATGAAACCTTATTATAAGGCCATCTCTAAAAACAAGTTTGTTTGCCTTCTCCTGACAGACTGACTAAAAACAGTCTTACTGAAAACTTTCTTCCTGGAAACAATTATTTTTTTATTCATTCTGAATTTTTCTCATCACGTTAATTAATATTTTAACTTCACATTCCTAAGTGTTTTTGAATAACAAAAAATTTTCCCCTAAGCCAACTTTCAAATAATGTTTGTTTGCCTACTCCCGACTCAAGATGAAAAAATTTGTTCGGTAGGTAGGTGAGAAAATTTTTTTTCTAAGAAAATTTCAAGAGCAATGCCAATTTTTTTTTTTCTGGAATGCATCAAAAAAATTGCTACCTGGAGGTTAAAAAAGTTTCAAGTCAGGCCATTTTAAGCCAGTCAGTCAGGAAAGGGCAGCCAAACAAATTTTTAAAGATGGCCTTACTTGCCTACTCATTTTTTTTTAAATCTTGAGTCATTTTTAGCTCATATCAGCCAAAGATCGACTCTAGTGAGCTTTTCTGATTGAAATTAGTCTGTTGTCTGTCATTGTTGTTGTCATAAACATTTTCATCTTCTCCAGAACCACTGGGCAAATTTCAATCAAACTTCACACAGAGCATCCTTGAATAAAGTGGATTCAAGTTTGTTCAAATGAAGTGCCACACCCTATTTCAATGGGAGATAATTTAGAAAAAGTAAGAGCCCAGAGGACAGGTTGGGTCTACAATTGGTGATCAAGTTTTACAAGAGAATAAATAGGGAAAAGAATCTGTTGATGTAGATCAAGAAGGGCCATAGTAACTCAGGTGAGCATTGTGGCCCATGGACCTCTAGTTTTTATTTATTCCGAAGTTTTCTCATCCCATTTAATAACTATTTTAACTTCATATTCGCAAGTGTTTTTAAATAGAAAAAATTTTCCCTCTACCTATCTACCCAATCCTGAGTCTGGAGAGGGCAAGCAAACTTTTTTAAAAGATGGCCTAATTTAGCATAATTATAATGATCAATATGTAGCCAGGATTCTCTATGTTATTTCAGGACTGGGTCTTAGTATAGATGACTACCCTCAGAGCTTGTCAAAGTCAGACAAATTGAAAGACAAACTAATGCAATTGTTTGCAACTAAAACTCGTGATGAATGGACAGAAATTTTCAAAGATTCAGATGCATGCTGCACTCCGGTACTAGAGCCAAATGAAGCGCCTATTCACCCCCATAATGTGGAAAATAAATCATTTTTACAAAGCACTGATGGAAAATATGAATCGGGTCCAGCGCCTAAATTGTCACGTACTCCAGGTGTTGATAAAGTGTTACCATCCCCTCAACTAGGACAGCATACCGTAGAAATTCTGAAGGAAATTGGTTTCTCGGCTGACACAATACAGAAATTTATTGATTCTGAGGTGATACATCAAAGACAGAGCAGTGCTAAATTATAATTTTTTACCACATTTTCTGGCTGAATTATTATATGTTGTATTTTTGCCAATGATAATTTTTCAAAATTTTCAATTTAAGGAAATTATGATGAAAAATAGTAATATATCAAATCTTATCAAAATATATATATTCATATAAATATGTAATTTATTATAATAATATATAAATACGATATAGTATACTATTATTGGGGTTGTCCCTAAGACCCGGGGGCCGGGGAATCTCCCCCCCCCCTATAATGACGTAATCTTCTGGTATTCCTCCTTATCCCCCATTTAAGGGAGGAACCCCAAATCCCCTTCTACTTTTTTTAATGTTCCCTGCTATTTTAATTCTTAGGGACAACCCTGTATTATGGACTTTTGGTGGTGAATATTCACCATGGAAAGATTGTTTTATTTAATATATAGTCAAGATTCGAATAAATAAGATATTAAAGGCTGCAAGACGACACCATTTCCATAAACAAAACTTCTATGGCATAAAGATTAAAAAATGCCCAGGTTACAGGTTATTATTTGTGTGTTTTCTTTTCATGGTGTGTAAGACATAATTTCTTGTTGAAATATTTGAATAATAATCTGTTGATATAGGCTTGCTAAATCTTTTTACTGCTCAGATACACAGCTGGCTCCAGCTGTTACAACCACTGTTTACAAATTTATTTGAGGTGTCATTCATGACTTGCAATCATTGCAGCACACACTTTGACCCTCTGTTGAATAACAGCTTCAAGTCCAGTGAACATGTGTAGATATGTGTAGTGTTATGAACTGATTATATAGGGACTATAAATAGACTATATAATAAACTAATTTATTTACTTGTAAGGAATTACAATTTCACAATGCCAGTTTGATATAGAATACTAATATAATATTGATCGAGTGTAATGAAATTTGGATTAAGATCTTAAGGACATACGCAACGTAGTTTGAACATTATTGCTTTTCCCCAGGAGTTGAAGAGTTCCAATACTTGAAGGACTAGTGTGCTACTCTTTTAATGTCTAAATATGGTGCTGTACACCTCTTCTAAAACAAATTTGGATGAAAAAACATCTAGAATATATTTTCAGTAATTTCTGTATTATTTTTCTTTGAATAATACAAGATTCATCATTTAATATCTATTCAACCCCTGGTGATGCATGCTGCTTTTTTGAATGCAAATATCTAATGGTACCCTAATTTTAAATTAAGAATATCGTGAAAAGTTATCAGTAGGTAAGGTACATTGCATATGTCCTTAATTAAATGAATGCTTATACACATAAACAAATCTGTGATTTTAAATTGAAATAAATGTCATTTTCAAATTAAGTTATGATTATTTATTTATATTTTGGAGAGTTATTACTGCACTCAATTCAATATTTTAACTTATTCTATAATAGTGAAAAAGTAACCGCCTTGTTTTTTTTTTGTTTTTTTTTTTGTGTGTATGTACACATGCCAAGATGCTAACTCGGGTCTATTCGGCCCTCCGGTTTTCTTCCGTTATTAGCTGTTCGTTGTCATAAAAGTTGAACCCAGGACGAGATGAAACGAAAATAGGATTAATTTGACAATTTAAAACCTATATTAATATTATGCAGGTAAGGTTGAATTATTATTAGAATGACGTTAAAAAATCTATTATATATACTTTAGGTTTGTTTCAATCTACATGACTACGGGAAGGTTCAAGAACTTGCATAACCAGCTGCTTATGACGTATTTCGAATTTCCTCTAGTAACAGGTCGGAAACTAGTATACAGATTGGTAATTGTTGTAGGTCTGTTGGTGTTGAAAATGCATTCTTACCATTGAAGTATAAACCATATATAAAGCAAAATTCAAAGAAGGCTCCAGTGAAAGTTATTGGATAAGATTCCTTAGATTAACAGGTCTGGTACAATCACTAGATTTAGCTACGTAGCTTGAATTACCTACATAGCTTTATTTACCTACCTGAAGTAGCTTTATTTAGCTACTAAATCAAACTTATTTCTTAATTTAGCATTTCTCCCAGAAAGTGCAGAAAATTGCACTTTGATGCAGTGATAATTTTCAACTTTGAACTCATCTGAAAACAATTCATGAAAAAATCACTCTTGGAGATGTGTCTTTTTCTGCGCAATTGCAATCAAAGTTCTAAAAGTTTTGGGGCTATATACAACAGTTAATTTGTGACCTAACATTACTTCTTGAGTGAAATAACAAAGAAAACCAGTTTTGGTTAACATGAGCACATTGTGAAGTAATCATACTTATCCACGCCTCATCACACACAAGGTGGTGTACAGTTACTCAAACAATGGAAATACATATTTTCCTTAAAAGTGTTCAAACGCAGCAATGTTAAAACTATCTCTGCTTTAAATAGCTTTTTAAATAATACCTAGAAAAAATATTGGTAGACATTTACTTGCGACTTTTTTTCTTTTTAAAATAAAAAGCAAAATTGTGAAAAGTTGCCTTGAAATAGCTAAATAAAGCTACCTAAGGTAGGTAAATAATGCTACGATAGGTAATTTTAGCTACGTAGCTAAATGTACTGATTGTACTGGACCTGATTAATTTGCATGTGTGAGATATTATTTGAATTATTTTCATGGACTGATTCATCATGCTTCAGGTAAATAAACACAAGACAAAAACTGGAAACCAATACTAAAGGTGAATTTGTGACTTATTCTCATGAATGTGTAGCATGTACATCATTATGGTATTCTTTCACAAACACTTGTTTCAGACCCCCCCCCCCCCCCCCCCCCCCACTTTCCGGTATAATAAAAATGATATTATTATCAAATGCCAAATTACATGAAGTATGACCTTCCAGAGAATTGCAGTCATTTTCGTTTGCAGAGAAAATGCAGAGGAAAAGTCTGTAATACCATTCTCTTCCATGATAATTTAATATGTATGCATGACATGCTTGCCTTTATTGTCTTCTATCTGGGTAGAGTCCAGACATTCAGCAAATATATTCAGTAAGGATGACCAGGTTAAAGTTTTTGGAGCAGGTTACTTTTTTTCGGAGCAGGTTTAAGTTTAAGGAGAGGTCTCATTCCCAAGTACACTGTAACTATATGCCCTACCTTGATCAAACTTGCATGAATGATGCATGAAGGGATGTATTCTACCAGACTTACTACAGATGCGGATCTGACCTACATTTTCCAGATGAATGAACAGGTTAAAGTATTTGGAATATGTCTCATTCCCAAGTAACTATAAGCACAATGTAGAGCTCCAGATAATTTTTTTGTCCAAAGTGTATTTACTCCCTGATTTTCAAATCAATGCAGATTTTGATATTCAGCAAAATGATTTAAGAGTATTTTGTTAATTTATTAATGCTTTGACATCTATTGTAATTTTGAGATTGTTACCGAAATAAAGGTATTTTAAAAGAGGAAAGATAAAACAAAAACAGTTTCTGGATTAATTTAAATAAAATTTTAAAAATGCCAACAAGATTTTTGCTATGTCTGAGAAACTTTTTTTTTTGAGAAGGAAGATCATACAGTAGGTAAAGTAACCATAGACACATAAATTTTTTCTCCATTTAAGATGATATCGTAGCAAGTCAAGAGTAAACCGAGAAAAAAAATAACGAGAGAAATCAGAAATTGTCAAAAGCCATCATAAAAACAGAGAACCATAGAGACCTCTAGAGAATCTAAGAGAACTCTTAATCATTAAATTCAAATACATATTATGCCTAATGTCTCTCTACGGCAGTTTATTTAATTGGTCTTGAATTTAAACAGAGCTCGTTTTTTTTCGACATGGTTTTAATATGGTCTTCACTGCTCTTTTACACATAGTGTACTCTTTGACAACATTGCAGTATAAACTTTTTTCTCCGGCTAGGACTCTTTTTTTCTCCAATATTAGCCATTGTTTTCTAACATTGTTTTCTATTACTTATACACTTGTTACAATATCGTCTTACATAGACGACACAAGCTTTTGTGTGCTTCAAAGTAACTATGCCTAGTGCGTAGTCTTTCTATACAAGAAATCGATTTTGATCTAAATCATTGAATTCTTTCTTCCGAACTGAAATCCGTCGTTGCCATAACTTAGAATAGTCCTAGTTATTGATAAGCTTTTAAATCATTATTTCGTTATGAAAAAAAAAATTAATAAAACACTGAGATAACCTCAATTCATCAATCTCCCTTGCAGAGTTGTCGTTTGTTTCTCTCCCTTGCAGAGTTGTTGTTCGTTTCTCTCTCAGACACCTCTGCGATGGGCTCACGTCAAGATTTTTGACATAACGTAAAAAACATGACATTCCAAGGATTATTTCAAATTAAACTAATAGTTCTAGATCTTCTTAGTAAATATCTACATTAAAAGAGAAACATTAGTACAGGCATTTAATTATAATGAATTTAATTAAACGCACTATTTCTCGTGCTTATCACCGTGATATACGCAAGCCAACGACAGAGGTGAATGTATGAGCAGATGGTACTGAGTGTCAATTCATATCATTAGCTGAGTCATTCTTGTATTATTCAATCCGCCGTACGCAGTATTTTCGTAGCATAGTGCTTATTTACGATTGCTAATGCGTAACTGTACACCCTGTTTTAATTTTCAATGTGTATTTTGTAAAATTCAATGCGTATTTCTGCAAATACGCACCTTATCTGGAGCACTGACAATGGTGTCTGAACTTGCATGGATGATGCATCTATTAATGCACAATACCATACTTGCTTCAAATGCTGGATCTGACCTACATATTCAGGATGAGTGAACAGGCTTAAATTTTAGGAGCAGTTCTGTTTATAAGGACTTGTATATATATGCCCTATCAGGACCAAACTTGCATGGATAATACATCCAGGGATTCATACCATCAGATTTGATTCAGATGCTGGATTTGACCCACATTTTCTAAATGAGTGAACAGTTTAAAGTTTTTGAAGCATGTCCTTTCCCAAGTAACTGTAAGCCCTACCTAGACCAAACATGCATGGATTACCGGTATATATCAAGGGATACACATTACCTGACTTGCTTCAAATGCTGGATCTGACCTACATGTTCCAGTTGATTGAACACTGGTTAAAGTTTTCAGAG